CTGTTTTTTTTATAGGGACAGTTTGACTCTAAGGTAGGTTTAAGGAGGCAAATATGCAAAATTTGGATACTACACAAGCCCAAGTTTGCTGATCTTCAGAGCATACAAGGAAGGCCTGCCTCTTTTCTCAGTCTTCTTGCCTGCAAAGAGTGATTGTGGGGTCAGTATATTTAAGGAGGGAATATCATTTTGGTCTTTTGTATTTTTCAATATTATGATGGCGCCATCAGTTTTTGCCTAATGTAAAGACTTTTCCTGTCCTTTGTGGTTATAAAGAAAACCTTCTGAATTTGACAGGATGCAGTGCAGTCTCTGCACACACACAAAATTAATAGCTCCGAGAGCGATGAACTAGCTCATTCTTCTAAAGGGTGCGTTATCTCTGAAGCTTCCTGGACAATAAATTAAATATCAACACTACTACATTACATAATGCTGCTTTACCGCATTATATCCGAATTCATGTTATATCGGGTCGCGTTATATCGGGGTAGAGGTGGTCTAATATCTGACACACAAACCAATTTTGGTTCATTAATTTCCAGTTCACGTCTTCTGTTTTTATTAAGCACCATTTCAGCATAGTACTTGAATTATATGGTGTTGTTATGTTTCCACTAATTTAGTCTCACTGTCTGGTTCTCTTGCACCTGTTTAGAACATTCTTTATTGAAAATAACTTGACCTACTTTCCATGGTAAATTCTTAAGCAAGCAAAAGTTACAGACCAATTGTCATAATAGGTCTCTGACCTCCCATATCCTGGCACACACTAAGAAGGGGAGAATGTGGGACTGACAGGCAACCCCTCTGCCCTTGTTCTTCCCTGTCCTCCTGCCACTTACCTACACGTCCCCTTTCCAATGTCCCTCCCTTCTCACTGTCCCTACCACCCATCCCCATTTATCCCTCTCTCCCCATAATTCCCCCTCGCCTTGATTCATTCTGAAATCGTTCACCTCTGTTTTTCCCATTCCTCCCCCTAAAATGCCCCTTCGTATCAGCAAGAATTCACGTCCCTTTTAAAAACAAAAAAAAGTTTGTTTACATTCCTCCAAACCCTCCCCCTAACCGCTAAATAGATTTTAGCAATATGCCTCTCAGCCTTTTCCAAACTTCCGCTCAAGGTAGGACTTGAACTGTCACTGGGAAAGGGAGTGGCCTTTAGAGACTGAACTCCAACCTGAGCCACAATATTTACACTGTTATTTTTAGTGCCAGGGCATGAGCCCAAGTCTCTGACCTGGGGTTTGATATGCTCTGCTATGGATTTTAAAACGCAATATAGACTTCTCCTGTGAGGCTTCCAACCTAGACCCTGCTCCACTCCTGAGCTCATTTGTTAGGTACAATTTCTGTATATGATATTTGCTTATTTGTGATTTAAGAATTTGTTGCCATTGAATTTCTGGCAGCATAATAGTTATTTCTAGAAAATACAAGCTCGACTGAATAAATTCATGCATTATTCCATGGTTCATTAAAATACGTATCCTACCATTCTTTTTAAAACCAGGGTCTAGCTTAAATTAAGGGTGAAAAACGTCCGTGAAGCAGGAACCTGCTGTGTCTATTTTATGCTACTAATTTTTCCCCTTTCAGTTTATAAGACTTCTAGAATCATAAAAATGGGTCAGTCTGCTGCAGCAGAATAGGAACCATTTATTTAGCATTTAAGGATTATGGTCACTTTTAACATTTTAATTTTAATAGTCAAAATAATCCCATTCTTTTGGCAGTCAGATGAATGACTTTTCTGTGGTATATTAATAGAGATATAAGCATCTTTATGAGAATTCAGCTACTAGAAAAGGTGGAACAAGTGTATCATTTACTCTGTGTGGACTTGATGCTCTGGCTAGGAGAACACATTTATATGCTAGGAACCATGTAATGTGCAGATCATTTGAGCATAAATAACTCATTAACACACTATCCAGTACTAACTCTCTCAAATTTCAGGCCACCTGCAATCCTCAGTGCAAAGAAGGAAAGATGAATTCCCTTTCCATTGCCAAAGCCTCATCCAACTTCTGAGTGCCAACACCCTCTCCACTTCCCTCGCTCCAACCTCTCTACATACCTTTCTGGATCAAACTTCAACAATACTTTATCCAGCTGCCAAAACGTCCAGCTTTCCCCAAAGGTCTACATTAACTATTAATATTAAAACCTCTGCTACTCTAAATATTTGGGGTACATAAACATTTGTAGGTTAATACCAACATAAACAACACTGCAATGATTGCTTTAGTCATATTCATATTTAATCTACCACAGTCCTCCAGATTTTAATTTACCTGAACCTGTGGCAGAATTTCCAGTTTGCTGTATCACGGTGCAGCAGAAACAGAGTTCTCTGGCCTGTATAGCTTATACCAGTTCTCAGAATGATATTAGCTGTACTGGCAAAAGGAATTTTTTGTCAATATAACTGTCCACACTGGAGCTTTTGCCAGCATAGACGTGTCTGTTAAGGGTGTGATTCTTTCTCACTCCTAGCCAACATAGCTATGCCAGCAAAACTTTTAAGTGTAGACCAGGCGAGTATGGGGCATGCTACTTTCCAACCAGGGGATTTCCAGGAGGTATGTTGCAGAATCAACTCTCTAACGGACCTCCTTTCTAACCTCTATCGAGCTATACCTATACTACAGTTTGTGACCCTACTGCAAGTCATGTGAGCTGTCAGTTAACTTGAGTTGGCTAAAATTTGTGCTAATCTAGACACTCCACAAATATTAGTTCCAAGACATAAACGTTTGTGGTTTACCCTAAGCAGAGTCCTAGATGGGGCACTGTCCAAATATAGGATTTCTCTGGACCATTATCAGATCAGAGTAGGTTGGTGGGTAACTAAAAGTTTTACTTGAAGTTAGTCTGTATTTCAGTAACTGCACGCTGCTATTTTACACACAATGTTCCAGTTAAAAGATCTTTCACTATGCTCATTCTCTTTATTTTTTTAATTCCAAGATGATGTTTCCACCTGTTGGGTCCCATTTGACTTAAAACACCTAAAATACATGATCTCAACTACAAACTAAGGCTGATCTCAGTTAACAAGAGCATCTAAGAGCAGAGATGCAAGTTGAATTAGAGCATGTAATAGTCTTTTAAAATCTTTCAGTATAAGCCCCCATTCACACCTTAATGCTCCCAGAACAGTAATGGCTCAAAGTTATAACTTACTGGTAAAAAGTTTCACCTTTTAGCTGATTAAATAATCTATAGCTTTTTTATACAGAATGGGAGTTTTCATTAGGATTTGAAAACTTTAAATTAGTTTGTGACGTGATATGTTCCCAGTCTTACCAATGAGTTTTACAAAAATTACTAATCTGAAAAAACCTTCAGACTCAAAACAAGTATGCAACTGTAACAGATTAAAAAAAGTCATCTTTTTATGGGCAATACAGAAACAATGAACTTCAGTTTTACAGTGCAAATTTTCAGATCATTTGGTGGATTAGTTAAGCATCGTAGGAAGGTGAAAAAAGAAGGGGATGGTTATGCATGTTTAACAGATTACATTGTTATAATGGTTCTCAGCTAAGTACTGCATTATTCATCTGCTATTGCTGGCTCATTCTGGAAGGCGTTTTCCATGTGATGATGGTGGGATACAAGGTAGACATTATTTGATTAGGAATTATACCACTGTGTGCCCTCTCTTATAGATAGTTTACACAAGAAGGACTGGGCCTTATTCTTGGTCACAAGTAAAAGTATGTTCTATCTGGACTTAAAAAAAAAAAGCATTTGAAGAGAATCTGCACTGAAGTTATTTTAATTCTCTGACTCAGCTTTGAGGGATTCAGAAGTAGAAGGCAAAAGTCAGCATTGGGTCAAGGGAGAAGAAACTAGATTTTCACATATATTTATGAAAATTCAGAGATCTATCCCAAACTGAAATGGAATGGTCAAGTTTCTTCCCTTCAATATGATGAACCCTGCGGGGCCCCTTTCCAATGCTCACCAATAGCTCCCTCCTTGTCTTGGATGTCGGAGAAGAAATAATAAGTATTGTAAGAGTGCATGGCAGCTCACAGCCCAATGCAGAGTCCTTGCCGAGCACAGCTTATGATCTTTGTGGTTCAGATATTAAGGTTTCCAAAAATTGCCAGGGGAGCGTTATTTCTTCTTTTCCTCTCTCCACTTGTGGCTGCTAAGGGGGGCTGCTTCTCATGTTTCATTATGCCCCAGACCAATAAGAGCAAGATGATCTCTTGACTAAATCTGTACTGAGGACTTCATAAGAGCAGGAAATGACTTTAATGCCAAAAGGTTGAGAATCACTGATACTACAGTGATCTTGGTTCTTCTGTTCCCATTGGAATGAGACTGCACATCCCTACTTTCAGCAACAATTTTCCTATCTGTTGTAAAATATACAAAAAGATAGAGCATCCCATGTCCCAGCATCATGGCTAAAAGTCCTATCAAAGTGACCCCCCAAAGGCTCCAAGTCCATCCCTGTTGCAGGTCTGGAGGATAAAAAGCTACTCACCCCAAACTTTGATTTCTGATCACTAAAAGTAGCATTTAACAAATTGATAAGATTTGTATAACGAAGCCTAAAAAGTTGAAAGCAACCATTTGCTGAATGCACTGAATCACGAGATAAATTACGTAGAATACTATGTAGGAAATACATAAAGTAGAAGGGAACACACACTTTAGATCTGAATGTTATCTTAGTCAATTAGTGATGTTTAGAGTCTGTGGATCTGTTAAAACAGCCTGAAAAATTCAAACAGGAAGTAAATTTCAGCACATTTTTCCTTACACCTAACAGAGGACAAATCCAAAATCCCTCTTTTTCCACAAACAGCTGCAAGTTAAAACCTTCTCATGACAAGAGAGGAAACACATGATTTTAGTGCACTTTTTATCCGTCAGAAAAGCCTTGCTGAACAGCTTCAAGTTTGAACATCCTGTTTTAATGGTATTCCACCACCGGGAAAAAAAAATCCAGCAAGCTCACAAGTGTTTAATACCTTTATCGAGAGAAGCTCCAGCCATGTGGTAAAAGCTCAAAGCTGTGTCCACATCATTTATATTCTTCAGAAAAGTAAAAAAGCTTTCCACCTCCTCAAACGTCAGCCCCTGCAATAGAAGGAACACATTTTTTTTTAAATGGTTAAAGTAAGGAGACAAATAATGAAATAATGTTGATAGGAAAAAAGTCCCAATGAGAGCAAAGATGATAGGTATGTCCAAATGGGAATTCATGTATGACTCTCCATAGTGCATTATATTAAATCATGAGATGGATGGCAGGAGAGAGATCACTTGATGATTACCTGTTAGGTTCACTCCCTCTGGGGCATCTGGCATTGGCCACTGTCGGCTGACAGGATACTGGGCTAGATGGACCTTTGGTCTGACCCAGTATGGTCGTTCTTATGTTATGATGTTATTATTTGGGATTATATACAATTTAAAGTCTACACTTGCAGTAACTGAAAAGTCAATTAGCTACCGACATTCTTATTTCCTCCCTTAATTGAAATTTCTCTTTCTGCAGTAATCCCCATTACAGTCCCATTGTCTCTTTACCATGAAGCTGATGCCAGCTGAGGGGGATAGGCTTAATACAGCTATTGTAGGTCTCCCTGTGCCTAGCCATTATTAGTTCCTGATCAACATTATGGGCCTGATTCTCATTTACACCACCTAGATAGTATAAAAGGGCCTTAGGGTATATAAGAATCAGGCTCGGTATGTGGAAGAGTCAGTGGTGATAGAGAAGTTGAAACAAAAACCACCACCATTTTTCCTGCTATCAACCACTTGCCCAACAATGTGATCACACAGCCAGTGCACTCTCAAGATCCAGGAACTTGCTGCAAGCATATCAGTTTATACCCCTTATGGTCTTCAAACTTGCAGCAAGGAGATCAGATGGTTGACACTCTAAAAATAGAGCCTTAAGGACAAATTCAGAGGTCTCAGTGGTGTAAGTAAAACTCCCCTAACACTTCAAGTCACTTAGGGTATGTCGACACTGCAAAGAAAAACCACCGGTGCCGAGTCTCAGAGCCCAGTTCAATTGGTTTGGGCTTGTGGATTCAGGCTGCAGGGCTAAAAATAGCAGTGCAGCCATTCAGTCTTGGGCTGGAACCTGGGTTCTGAAACCTGGCAAGTGGGGAAGGTCTTGGATCCCAGGCTCCAGCCTGAGCAGGTACACCCACGCTGCTATTTTTAGTTCCACAGCCCGAGGCCCTATTGAGTTGGGCTCTGAGACTCAGCACCGTGGGTTTTTCTTTGCAGTGTAGACATACGTTTAGACTCCCTTACATATAATCAGAGGAGGTGTATGTTAGCGAAAATTACATGAGAGCAGGAAAGCGAAACTAGTCTCATCATGCTTTAACTTTCTTCTGGCTCTTTGGTATGTAAACTAAATCAGATGATATTCTCTACATGTTGACAGAGTGGTTGTGTCAGGTCTAAGGGATGATTCACATTGAGAATTTTGGAAATTCTCCCACAATTGCTCTAGCATTGAGGCAGCTCCAATGGGGCTGGCACCCAGGTAAATACTAGTATAGAGTAGTTACTTGTCTTTTTACCACCGTGTCTAGATTTGTTCAGAGTTGGAGGACACAGTGAGGTGATAAAAATAACCAAGCCCTATCTATATTAGCCCTCATATTATTTATTGCTAGCACCAGTGGAACTGCATCAATGATAGAACAGCAGCATGAGAGTCTCAAAAACTTAACAGTGTAGAAGCAACCTAAGTGAACCTAAATGAGCAAAGGTCTGACAGTAAGGGGATCTATATTTCATTACCTTACCCATCACCTCTGAATTTGGCTCTTAACATGATGAATCACCATGCCAGCCTAAATTCAAGTTTCCTCTCTATTCTAGCCAGCAAGAGCCAGACTGCTAAAAATGGGGTACCTATAAAAATAAATAATAGATTTTCACTGTTATGATGAAGATGAAAATGTCAAAATGAATACATTCAGCTGGTGAATCCAAATTAAGCTGTAAAATCTATCTTAACACTGTCTGAAATGTCTTCAGTAACTTGAGCTATTAAAGCCTTTAACAGCAACAAGGGCAGATTATTGGACTAATTTAAAACAAGAAATGCATTGTAAGATACTCTGACTGAAAGGGAGTTTAGTGACAAAAATCACTGTAAAGAAGATAGCTCATTTTTAAGGTCTGGGATTCAAGAGAACAACAGTGATTAGCATAAACACAACACCTTTTCAGCACGACTGCTAGCTTCTGACTCAAATATAAAAGAATTGGGAACCAGACACTTCTGCAGAGGTTGTAAATTACAAATGAAGAGCAGGGTTAAGTTTAAGTTATTTCAAGTCCAAGAAAACTTTTATGCTAACACTGAACTCATTTACAAAAGACAATGTTGCAGGTGCATTCCTGTATGAACTTAGCTAGCAAGCTCAAACGGAATGTAAGTGATTCGCTCCATCGCACTTTATTAAAAAAGTGTAAGGATTTAAACCACATAATGTTAAGACAGCTACAATAGAGTAATCCAATAAAAACAGATAAATGTCTTTGGGTACTGAAGGTATTACATACAAATCACCAAAGGACACTGTGTTCCAAAACCTCTTCCCACTTGAGACAGAGGGAAGATTTAAAAAAGCAACCAGTCTTGTATGAGGATGTTCTGATGTAAGGTACTGGACTGGATTGACAAGAAATGTACGTGAGCTACAACTGTTTGTAATAGATGATCCTTCTAACTTAATTAGTCACTATATAGCCAGCTGCCTGGAGTCAACAAAGCTGCCAAGAATTTCATCTGTGCCAGAGGGGAAAGAGAAACTGGCACCCCCACATCCTTTACCTCTTCCCCAAAAAACTCTTTTTATTATTTGCCTTTATTTGCTATTGCTGCAATTACATTTTTTTGGCTCTAGACTTGGAAATCATCTATCGCTTTTGTTCTTGCAAGTGTAAAATTCTGAATTCCTCCTCTTCTCCCCACCTCCCAAAGGCCTTGGAGATAAAAAGGGTGGTTATGAATCTGGTTAACAACCATAAAAACAGCCTGGCAGGAGTGTTACCCCTAGAATCTGGACATAAACATGTCCCTCTCTATCAGGTTAAGAGTTTTTTTTCTTTATCCAGTGAAGAAACAATCAAATGCTGACAAAAAATCAGGTCCCTCCAGTTCATCTCTTAGCATCCTTGGCTATTGTTAGCTACATAATCAAAACTAGTTACAGAAAACGTTACAGCAAATTGGAAAATATGACATTAGGAGGTGGTATTTTCTGCTAGTCATACACCCAAACTTTATGTATCTATAAGTTATTATTCTTGAACCAAAAACTTTCAAATAAAATTACAAACATACAGACCTTTAAAAAAAAGTGTTACCAGAACATCCAACTCCAAATGGAACTCTGTCCTCATATCCCTACTCACATTCTACCTCAAGGCTAGAGGTCCTCACACACAACTTAAATTCTACCTAAATGGATGCCAATAGTTTGCTCTTTAAGGCTACATCTACACTAGCATATTTGAGGAAGTCTTCCTCCACTGCACTACCATCAGTGTAGCTCTGCCACTACTACTGTAGACAGGGCTCTCCACATGGAGAATTTCCCAAGCGTCTACTGTTTACTTTTAACTATACATTCTATTTGTGCTTTAAAGAGAAATTTATTCTCAAATGTGGCTACATCTCAATGAAGATGTGTGTCTGGGAATTTTCTTAGTTTTCATTAATGTGGAGAAAAAAGGGTGGGTTCATACTTATACAATTCTAAAACCAGGGTCCGGATTTAGCTTGCAGCTTTACTGAAGCCTGCATTTTATCAATGGTGCTTGAATATGCCAAGCTTTGCATGTTACGCTCATGGAACTCAAATTCTGTGAAAACTCAAATACAGTCCACGGAGAAGTCTCAAAGGAAGTTTGTACCCGGCATGAGCAGGACCCCACTTGGGATATCAGGGAAGTATGAGCTTTGCAAAACCATTGGAGAATGTGGCTGACATGAACATATTTCAGGCCTCAGTGGCCTCTACCAGCATAGTTCTAAAATACTTGCGTGATGGGGTGTCCGCCCCACACTGGCTGGTAAGGGGTTAATACAACTGGGGAGGCCATATGAAAAGCAGCCAATAGGAGAGGATCTGTGAGGAGCGGCCAATCAGGACCTGGCAGGTCCATAAAAAAGAGCCTCTGGGCAGAGCAGGGTCAGTAGCTGCCTAGAGCTTGAGGAGGGAGGACTGTCTGGAGTAGGTTGCAACCCTGTAGCACCTTGGACAGAGTGGTGTAGTCAGAAGCCTGGTCAGAAGAGAAGGAGCTCTGGATGGGCTGCTGAGACTGATGAGAGTGTTGTGCTCATGGGGAAGTGGCCCAGGGAAACGCAGTGATAGTAGTGGGCAGGCCTGGGAAACACCCTCCTCCCCTCTGGGGAAGTGGTAGGACAATTGACTGCAGTCACCACTGGAGAGGTGGCTGGACTAGGAGCTAAACTCCCTCGAAAGGAAGGGAAATACAGATAGTGACATGGCCAGGGGGCTGAGCCACGAAGAGGACGTTGCAGTTTCAGACGCTGTGAGAGAGGTTACAATTGGATTGCGGAGAAGGAATGATGGTGTACAGACTGTGGATGGGAGTGTCAGCCTTGAGCTAATCCCCAGAATGACCAGGAGGAGGTGCCAGTCTGGTGGCGTGCTCTGTGACAACTTGAATTATGATTTATTGACTCATTAAGGAGATTTCCGTGTTTATTTTTTAACCTTTGATTAATATACAATTTAAAGGAAGGCAAACTGACAAATTAACCCTGATATGCATACAGTAATAATCAGATTGCTTCTTTCATAATATCCAGAACATGACAGACGTAGAAGTTACCACTAACAATATAAAACATAATGGCGTAAATTGTCAGCTGCACCAGAACAGGGGCCAAACCGGCCCCTGAAGCAAGTTAGAGGAACCCAGTGGTTGCTTTAGTTTTCATTGGCCTTGAATGCCACCTAAGGGCCATTATACCAGAAAGAACTGCTTGAATAAACTGTGCTTTGGCTCCTCAAAATACCCTAGTTCTTCCAACACATCCCCTATGCTGGGTGCAGGAGGCACTGATGTAGGGTTGGCCATGCTGGATTTATGCCAACTGAGGATTCCTTCATACCAGTGGAATCCTTTTAGAGCAGCTTTAAGGAGCAGCGTAAAGGGATCTTAAGATTGGTCAGAATCTGGTCCAGTATTTCTTAATATTTTGCATCACAAAATGGATTAACAAAATTAAGAAATAAATGGCAGTTCTGACGCTAAGAGGAAGTAATTCTACAACTGTCAAGCCTACTAACCACAGAAGCAGAAGTCTTTCATTAGTTCCCGTTTTGGTTAATTGCTATGTTCACAAACTAATTAATAAAAAAGGAGCGCTATCAATCTCTATAGAAGCAGACATGAAATTCTAACACTACTGTAATTTAACACTCCATACGTTCGTTATCATATTAAAGATGTCCTTTCAGTTTAGGTGTTTTATTCCAACGTCTCCTTCCCTGAATTAACTACTGCAGGGACTGCAACCTTTCCCCCCTACAAATTTTGAGTCTAATTCCCATATTTTTCTCATAAAATCATAATAAAATGATAAACTACCCAATCATACTGCACAATTAATCCAAGGTCAAGTCAACTGTTGGATATAAGTCTTCAGTGTTTGTTCAGGTTAAACATGTGGGGGCTTTCTCCAGAAAGTGTGTTTTTTTTAAATTAATGTTAAGTATTTCTACACCCACTATTGCAATGCACTCATTTTAAAATGTGTAAAGCAGCCTTTCATTATACACACAGCCAGATCTTGATCACTAGACCTATGCATTCTTTGACTCCTTACTGCTGGTAATTTGTTGATCATCTGAAGTCAATGTGGCTCTTAGGGCCTCAATAGGTTTTAGAGGGTCAGGTGCTTTTCTTCAGGAGTCGTAGCATATTCATTTTATGGTAAGCCCAGTCTGTGCCAGCCCACTGCTTAGATCTATAATTTCAGAGCAAAATATGAAATGGCTGTTTTTTTTTTTACTCCAGCCTGTGATGTATTCAGCTATCAAGCATTATTTAACTACTGAGATATATTTTGGACAAGTAAAAGTCAATGGAAATATGTATCAGCACTGAAATGATTCATTCTACAAGTTTATTCACATTTTAGACTTCATTTCACAATGCAAAGCACTATGGATGCACGCATCAGAAAGTCTTAAAATTTCTCTTTTTTCCGCCTGAAAGCCACTAACCTCTCCTTCTTGAAAATGTTTCCTGAGTTGCTTCAGCATGAGAGTGAGCTTCTTTGACTGCACTCCACTATAGGCCAGCAGCATGCCACCAAACTGACGCTCGGTGATCCGCCCATTCACAGGGTCATGCCGTTCAAACTGGAAGAGAAAGAAGATTAAAACAAAACACTAATATTAAAGCAATTCTGCTTTAATAGGAAGCTGATATTTTATTCAGGAGGTGCACAACATTTACTGTAATGCTAAGCTAAGTGTGGTTGACAGTATTTCCAGAAGCAGCTCTAACTGTGCTCAACATCCCCTCTTCACCAATGTCAGCGATTATTTATTTTACACACACATCCCAGTACTTGGACACATCCCAGTATTTGGACAACCATTTAGGAATTTCCTTTATCATGACCAACTTGTTCCATATACAGGGGGACAGCATTTGTGGGATTGGTCTCCAACAAGTATTGATTACAACCTAGAATGGACATTTCTAAATGAAAGTAAGCTAGATTTTCACTTAAAGGCAGTTCAGAAATGGTATAAAACTTGCAATCGGAAAATACAAGCCACACACTCCAGGCCACAGAAGTGCAACTGTGTCATGCAGAGAACAAGCCGCTGTCAGTAACCCCTTCTCAGGGCTCAGTCCTGCACAGATCCTTGAATAAAACACAGTAAGCATGACTTAAAAAAAACAGTGGGGAGAAACATGGCTGACAAGAGGCTTGGTGGTCACTAAATCAGGAAGGGAAAATCCCCAAACTCTATGTAGGGATTGTCAGTGAGAGAAGACTCCTTCCCTTGCTCTTGATTTCCCCTGACAACTGCCAAGTTTTGGTAAACTCTTCATTCGACAGCCGCCAATCTCTAGCCTCTGAGAGGCTTACAAAGATTGTTGGGGGACACTCCCAGCCCAACCCCCCTTCACAAGCCTTTCAGAGGGGGAAAAAGTTGTTTTTCCACTGAATAGCCTTCTTAATGATCAGGTTAGATGCTAACATCAATCTCTGCTAGTAAAAAGGCTAGAGACTTACCACAGCAAAAATAAATAAATATAAAAACAAAAACCACAAATAGTCAAGGATCTAACATGACATTTGCAAATCATCAATCAGTCTGTTTACTCTGCTTATAGGTTATACCTCTTCACCCTCACCCATTGTTAGTGTTGTCCATTTAGATTCTAAGCTCTTTGGCCAGGGACTATTACTTCATTTGTGGATAGTGCCTAACACAAGGGGGCCCCAATCTCAGTTGCTCCCTAGGCACGATCATTAAAAAAAAAGAAAAAAAAGAAATGAAAGCTCACAAAAAGAAGTGAAAGCTCACTATCAACACTTTAACATCTTGTATCAAGTTTGCCAGAGCAGATATAAGAAAGCCAACAGATACCATCCCTTAACTACCTAGCCCCATAAACAACCGCCCCCATCAAGCTCCTGTCTCCCTACAAGCCGACATAAATAAATAGCCTTGCAACATGACCTCAAGGTCAACAAGCTCAAACTATTTTGGACCAAGGGATGCGTATGAGTGTTCTTTACTTAAACTACCTAACAAGTAGGCTGCTTGTAAACAAGCCATTACAATTTGCATGGTAATGAAAAGAGCTGAGTAAATAATTTATAGTGAATAATTTACTTGATCAATTTCACTGCTTTTCTTCCCCCTGTTCACGAACTGTATGGCGAGATTCAAATTTTATTTGAAATTCGCAAAGTAGTTATTGGTCTGCAGATTGACAGTCAGACATTGGTTGCGAGTACTCAACATTCAAAATTTGAACTGTTTGGATAGAACACATAGGCCATGCACTAGGATTCAGTTTCCTGATTGGGTATGAGAACTTTTGGGTTTCAGATGTGAATGACTCATGGATTATGAATTCCATAGTTTGTTCCCTGTACTGTTTAGTCAAAATTAACTATCATAGCAAAATTTCTGACCTTTGAAGGTTAAATTTTTGGAAGGAAATTAAATAACTATGTCTAGTCCCAAGATGCCAAAAAAATACATATATTTTAAAAAATATACCAATTTGATCGTCAGTCTTTTTCTCTGAGCTTAAATGGTGTGTGCAAAATCTGGGAAGTCATGCAACCTCTTAACTGTAGTTTGCTAAAGAATCCCACTTATTCTGTACCCAAAACACTGAACTCTTTCCTTCTTATTTGCTGTAGGAAAAATCTTATCAAAGTCAGAGGAAAAATAGAGTCTTCATTAACATCAGAAGTAAGGAACTTAACCTGTTTCTTTGGTGTTTCTGAGGAATATGGAAAAATGTTACAATACTTTAAGGCATAAATTTCACATCCAATGTAATTTTAAAACCAGCCGCAAGGTTTTCTAGTGGAGATTCTCCGTTTGCCTTTCAATTAACCCCCAAACATGCAAATCAGTATTTTTACTCATGTTCTTTAAAGACCTCAATTTTGCAGGAATGTGAGACATTATCTTTTATTAGCACACCTGAAAGGGCTTTAAAATTTTCAAGCTCAGTTTATAATTAGTGACCTTTCTCAGATAAGTTTAAAATAAGTGTAATGTACATTATTCATTTCCTCTACCCCACTTTAACAACTTGATGAGGAATTTATTCATTTTCTATCTTCATGCCCTTAACAGGATTAAGAACTGTACCCATACAAGTTTCGTCAGTACCAGCTACATCTGGGTTGTACTTTTTTGCAACTGACCAGGAATGAGAGACTGTACTAGAATATTAGTTGTGATAGTACTTCAGCTCTGAAGGGAAACAAACAACTCCCCCCCACAACCTCTCCTCGGCATTCCTCCACTCTCAAGCTGTCTCACCTCAAGCTTTTTGGTGCCATTTTTTAGTTAGGTTTACCAAAGACCCAAAGTCAGCCTTTCACCAGGAACCACTTAATCATGGGTCCCCAGTAAGAAGAAGTGTATCAGCCAGCAAGGCCATCTTGCTCTATCCCCATTTTAGGAGATGATCCTCAAGTATTTTCATATGCTCAAGGGTAATTACCATATCATGATCACAGACATGATCACAGATCGCCGCCCCTCCTCTTCCCCCATGCTAGGATCTCCATCTCTTCTTAATGAGATGTCCCTTAGTAGCAGAGACACTACTCAATACTCAAATACACTGGATAGATTAAAGACAAAGCTATAATTTTCACTCAATTTCAATGGATTTATTGGTTCTAAGACAGTCTTATTGAGAGTGAATGACAGCAAGGGTGCATGCAAGAAGTGGGATTACTTTAAAAATATTTGTCCAGTTACACTATCTGAGATGCAAATATAGACACAAACAGTGTCACTTTAAAATGTGTTAGCTGGTTGTGGTCAATTTAGCCTAGACACAGCCCTACAGATTCTTTGGCATTGCAGAGAGCAAAGATTTCTGAGACAGAAAAATCACAGGAGCTTTTACAACTTAATCAACTATCAATGAAATGAGATAAAACAGGATGGAAAAGCACTTATGGAATCAAAGTCTAACCTTCATTGCTGGCATCTAATAAAATTAACACAATCTTTAAAGTACAAAAAGAAGAACAGGAGGACTTGTGGCACCTTAGAGACTAACAAATTTATTAGAGCATAAGCTTTCGTGGACTACAGCCCACTTCTTTTGGTGGATATTTCATATATATTTATCCCCAAAAATGGGGCGTAGGTCACGAAAAAATATTATTTTAAAAAATTTTTTT